CACATAGACAACCTCTCGTCAATATGCGTTTTTCGCATTGCATTGCTGCAAAAAACGCATAAAAAGAGGAATAGACGGACGATGATACTACTCCCACAGTTTCGGTATTCTAGCTTTTCTGATTCTCGAGTTCAAAGTGAGTGACAAAAAGTGCGAACATACAGACACACACACACAGACAGCTCCTTGCCAATATGCGTTTTTGCAATTTGCATATATGCAAAAAGAATAAACATTAACTACACTTAAGTTTTGGGCATTAGCTGTAATTCACAATCTGATTCTCAGACTATGCAGTTGTTAGTAATTTTCCCAGCTGTTTCGTCCAGTGTTGCACCGCTCAGCAGATACTCTGACGTCTGTTTCGTTTTCTGAAGAAATAGTGGCTTTCTAAGGGAGAAGAACACCGCAGAATTTTAACATTTCCGAGAAGTCTTTGCTGTGTGATGAACAACATCGAACATTGCATCTCCTAGACTATATAGATTAGTTAGATGACGATAAAGATAAGATTTTTTGAGCAGCGGAAAAGTGATGAGCGAGGAAAGAAGAGACAGAAAAAATTCGAAAAAAAAAAACTAACTGCACATATCGTTTGAAGAAGCAACGAGTACATCATATAACTTTCATTTTCTCAAACTTTAAACTTCACTCGGAGAAAAACGGAGGCGCTTTAGGTTAAAACTTTGCCCTGCAAAGTTGTAACTATCAATGCCTAAGCATAAAAGGAGGCAAAGAAGGACATACCCTCGAGCTGGCATACCCTTGAAACCCCATCGATGCATGCCACCCTGGAAACCCCAATCAATTGTATGACCAGTGGCAGTTATGAATTGTCCCACTTTGAAATGACATACATGCAGTTCCGTTCCCGGCTTAACCACTGCATCTTCAGTGACCAGAAACGATGCAAGATGTTTCTTCACAGGTAATCCTTAAAAAAAAAAACTTGTTTTTTCAATGATAAAATGAGAAGATGGTATTGCTATTTTGCAAATTTACAAAATTAAGCGAATAGCGCTAAAATCACCCTCAGAAAGGGAAAGATGAATAAGGGCAGACTGCGCTCAAGAAGTTCCAGCCAAAGTATATATTTTCTCCACTACGTAAGTCATGGGTAGACAACCGGCGACCAGCGGGCTGATTCTAGCTCGCGATCGGTTTTAATTTGGCTCGCGGAGGAAGTCAGAATGTGGTGCCTAACTAGAAGAACAGGGTTTGTATTCCGTCATGCCTCTGCACTCTTACAGAAATAAATAAAACGAGGCCAACAGGCGACAATATGGAAAAAACTTTGAGACTCCGCGTCAGTAATATAAATCCAGATTTCAACAATCTTGTGTCAACAGTTTAAGTTCAGAGCTCACACTAACATGCTATTGTTTATTTTTTTTTTAACTGAATGAACAAGCTGATAAAAAATTATCTATTTTTTCGCGTCTTTGCGTCTTTTGCAAATGCAAAACTCATAATTTCAAGGGCAAGTCTGTGCGACGTTCTCTCCCTGCATGAAAGAAAAGACCAAAACACAGACACATAAGTTGCATGTGTTAAAACGTAGAGCAATTCATGCTGTTAGCCATCTGACTACGTCAAGTTTAGCGCAAAAACGCATGAATGCATGGGCAAATCTGATGCGCTGCTACTTGATCGTGTTGCCAAAGGTTGCCCATATTTGACGTAAACAATGGAAATGAGAGCGTAGTGATTTATAAATGGTGACAATAGGTTAATTCAAACATTGCAAGGCTGTGTTTTAGAGCAAATTTCAGAACAACGCATGAAGCAGAAACCCAATGTGCCCCCTTTACTTTCATATTTTACGTTCCTGTTTTTTTCAAACCTATGTAAGTTGACTGAACTGGAAGACTACCTGAAATTAATGTCTAACTACCTGAAATTAGTGTCTAAACTTCGCGCAATTTCATCCTCCCTTGGCTTAGCAGTAAGTTCGCGCGAGTATATTACGCTTTTTTTCAGTACAGTTCTTCACAATAGTTTTAAGGAAAAAATCCTGTGAGCAGGACTTTACGAGGGAAGAAATGAAAAAATCTGATCTTATAACGCGTAAATTAGCTGCTACCATGTCTTTCAAATGTTGCTCGATAGCGTGCTGTACATTTTGTTGGATCGGCATCCACAGCTCCAACTGTGATTCGCCATCGTGGGCCATAACGACCATAGGCTTTGTTCTTGCCAACCATGCTCATTCTGAAAATCGCACCAGTTTTACTGCAGAAAAACTTTACACCGTTTTTTTCTGTTTCTGCACAGCACATTTCCTTTTGTGTTTGAAGAAGCACAGTATTAATAAACACTGCCATTTCACTGTTGGCAAGCTTTATACGCAGAAGTACTGTGTTGGGCAATTGTTAAAATTTCAAGTGTTACTGCTATGCAACGACACACCAGGCACAGTCATGCCAGACTCTTCTGTAGAGTTTATTTTGTTTTCACATATCAGTCAGGCCCACAAACACGTGTCCAGGATCACGATGTATGCCCCATCAGAGATCACTTGAGTAGTTATTTTCTTTTTCAAGAATATCAGCCGCTCACGATGAGTAAAGAGAGAATGCAAAAAGCGCCGAATTTGAATGAGATTACTTTTAATAAAATACTAGAATAAAAGGACTGGACTTGAGAGGATTGGACTCTTGGCCCTTTTTTATTTTCTTTTCTTCACCACCTCACTGGATTCTGGATCGTCACCGTTCTAACTCTGGTTATTCCTATTGCATATAGGGTTGGTGCGACCCTTGCCGGTCGATACTCTGCGCTGAATGGGCCGGTGTTGCTGGCCCTGGTCACTATCCTCTTCCTTTCTCCCACAGGGCCTTTGAGGCCCGTACTGCCTTTTACTTAAGTGTAAAGTGTAAGGAAGACATTTTACGATTCAGCCTGTCTGTGTTTCATCCCTTAACTGTAAACACTGACCGAAATATGTCTACAGATAGGAGCAGGAATCATCAGTACAGCCTCCTACTCGCCATGTACTGAACAGCTATGCAACTAATTTGCAAGACGGATATGCGAAAGAAGGAGAAAACAGAGAAAGAACAAACAGAGTGAGAGAGGAACGAAAGAAAAGGGCGAAACTGACTGGACGGCTACCGCCGTCGAACCCTTTATGTCGCTGAGGTGTAGTCAAGAACACTTGGCCCAGTAAATGTAAGTATAAAAAGCAAACACTAACCGATAATAAGTTTCTGGATCAAATGCAGATATAACAAGATTTTTGGGAAATTCAAGTAACGTGCACAAAAACCGGGTTCCGTCCACACTCCACTGCGGGAACACTCCGATTTTTCGAGCCAGAAGTCCAACACGATTCGATTCCGGCTCCCACTGCTTCGGCTCAGTTTCTTGTGGCAATTCGCAAGGCGGAGGTTTCAGCGACATAAACGGATTAGCTCGAATAACTGGCGCATGCACTGCAATTGGGAATTCCTGTTCCACAAAAGTCTAATCAAACAGCACTTTAAGGACAAGAATTGATCCGCCAGCGAAATAGGAAAGGTAGGAAAGGGCCATGGAGGGCCAACCAAGAAGGAATCATTTCAAACAGGAATGTCTGCGTTGTGCTAGATGAGGGTTGGTAATGCAAACCTCCGTACCATAAGTGACACTGCAAAATATGTAGGTCAAAAACTTCTTATGAAGTAGTAAAAATCTGG